CTTCAGTCTGATTCTATCTATCTATCTTCAGTCTGATTCTATCTATCTTCAGTCTGATTCTATCTATCTTCAGTCCTTCAGTCTGTATCTATCTTCAGTCTGATTCTATCTATCTATCCATCTATCGTCTGATTCTATCTATCCATCTATCTATCTATCTATCTGTCTGAAAGTGTCTATCCACCTGTCTTTCAATCTATCCATCTGCTTTTTCCTAAAAGTATCTATGTCTGTCTGTCTGTCTGTCTGTCTGTCTATCTGTCTGTAAGTGTCTATCCATCTGTCTTTCAATCTATTAATCTAATTTTCAATCTATCCATCTGCTTTTTCCTAAAAGTATCTATGTCTGTCTGTCTGTCTGTCTATCTGTCTGTAAGTGTCTATCCATCTGTCTTTCAATCTATCCATCTATCTATCTGTCTGTCTGTCTGTCTGTCTGAAAGTGTCTATCCATCTGTCTTTCAATCTATCCATCTATCTATCTATCTGTCTATCTGTCTGAAAGTGTCTATCCATGTCTTTCAATCTATCCATCTGCTTTTTCCTAAAAGTATATCTCTGTCTGTCTATCTATCTATCTATCTATACATCTGTCTTTCTATCTATCTGTCTGTCTGTGTGTCTATCCATCTGTCTTTCAATCTATTCATCTGTTTTTCAATCAATCCATCTGTTTTTTCCTAAAAGTATCTATCTATCTATCTATCTATCTGTCTGTCCGTCCGTCCGTCCATCTCAGTCTGTCTTCCTATCAGTCTTTCTGAAAGTAAGCTTGATGTCTCGATCTGTCATCTGTCTGCCTGTCTGTATATCTATCTCTCTATCTGAAAGTGTTTGTCTTTTTTTATCTGTCTTTCTTAAAGTATCCATCATGCAATTGACAAGCATTTACTGTTCTGTCAAAAATCTACAGTTACATGAAATAACTCAGAAATAACACAAACACTGAAATCTCAATTACTGATAGAACAAGGATGGTATTTTTGCTTTTCTCTGGGTTAAATCATGATGAAGCAAAATGGTGTTTCAAACAGGAATGTTTTCAGAATTTACCAAAACCTGATGCCAGCCTACCTTTGCTCTCTGGTTTTGGAACCACACCTGCACGACTCTCACCGTTAGTCCAGTGTCAGCTGCAAGAGTTTCTCTGACCTGCAACAATAGTATATGCATGAGATGTACACAAGTGCTGTTTCCACATGTAATGCACACGAGCGGCCTGTGACTGCTAACCTTTCGGCAGGGTTTGGAAGACACCTCAAAGGAAGCCTTGAAGGCACGTCGCTGTTGTGTGGTCAGGATGGTACGTGGTCTCTTGGATCTCTTGTGCTCCTTCCCATCATCCCCAGCCTTCCCACCAACAGAGACACCACCACCATCCTCATCCTCACTCTTTACTGCAAAGGGGAAACTGAGCATTGGCTTAAAGGTGAAGGTCCTAAAGGTCCATTTCTGGACTTTAATTATTCACAACCTTCAGCGATAGAGCGTGGTCACTGAGGTTACCTGACTCGGTCGGGACTGGGCTGATGGCAGCCAGCATCTCTCTCTCTTTCTCATAGTCTCCCCGGCAGAGCAGCTGTCCCTCCTTTAGCACAAACTCATCACCTCTCTGCAGCCGACGCTCACACTCGCAGCAGCTGAAGCAGCCCAGGTGGTACACCTGTCCCAGCACACGCATGATGAGCTCCGAGCGGCTAGGTTTAATTACTTATATAATAATTAAAAAAAAATGAAATTTGATGCATCGGGCCTTTGAGGAATGTTTATTTATTCATCTCTCAATCATCATTGTATTGCACTGCATTCTATGAAAATAAAAACTACCAAGCTTTCACCATAAAAGCTTATAAATATAAACAAATTATTGACACGTATTGAGTAACAATTTATATGCATTTTATGCAAGTAGTCGGCTATACTTTTAACAAGATGTCACTGATTTACATTACAAGCTATATCACCAATCAGAATTTCATCTTTTTGATCATATAAATGTTTTTTCCTCGAGTATGAGCTACATATTTTCACTTTATATGAGCCATAAAAGCCTGATGTATCAAATATGACACTGAACAAAATACACATGCAAAATGTATATTATATTTTGTCCTAATGTTAAATAAACCGTTTCATTAAAAAATATATATTATTTCATATGTCAGGTTTTACAGGGTTAATTTTATTAACATTTATTACACTGCATTTAAGCTGTACATTTTATCAGTGTGTCACCTGGGAATTAAACCCCTGACCTTGGTGTTGCTGGCACAGTGCGCTATAGCAAATGTTTTAAAACTTAATGAATTTCCAAAATGATTAACAAATACAGGGATATACAGGGCAAAAGTGAGCAAATATTAAGAAGGTCATTTGTCCTGCTACCAACACTGAAAAATGCCTCTTTAAACCGTTGTTTCCTTCCTTCATCAGCTTCACAATTTGTTTTAAAGGCATTCTCGCTCTTCAATCTCCACCAAACCCCTCGTTTTTTCCTCCTCTCTCTCCCCTCCCTCACCGCTTGATATTTTCTGCCAGAATTCCCTGTCCTCCCTCTCTCGCTCCCAGCCTCCCTCCCCAGCTCCGTGAAACTAATAAAGACAGGATTAATTAGATTGTTGTTTAAACAGTGCGATGCCCAGACAGACGCTGTAAACTCATAACCAGGGATTGAGGATAGCATGGGGTTAATCTCTCCTCTCTCTTTTTCACACACTCGAATAAACACACCATACTCACACACACACATATTTACCAGCACCTTTATATGGCCGTGCTCATGTACTCTCATAAATATTGACAGGTACCCACAGATGAACCTGTAGACGCTCATGTGGTGTCGATGACAATCTAATCCTCCTGCACAGTTCATTAAGCCAAAGCAACAGTCACTATTCACCCAAATTGTGACATAAACCAGTGTGAAGTTACTGTCAAACACCTGAACCAGACTAAAAAAAAATAAAATCGTAGATTTCAAATGTAGGCTGTTGTTGTGAGTGTGTTGTTATGTGGTTGCTAGGGTGTTCTGGGTAATTGCTAGGTGGGTACTTGCTGTCCCATGTCTTATGATATTGTCGTCTCGGGACCCTCCTTCAATGCATTGTTTTTCCCAACCAAGTGAAAATCATCAAAAGCTGCTCAATTTTACGTATTATACTATCACGGTGCAGGACAAGGTATTATTTAAAGTAATAGTTCAACCAAAATGACAATTCTGACAAGAACTATTCCTAATTGTGCTTAAGGGTTTGTTTAGATCCCTAACCCTAAATGTAAGCAATAATAATAGGGATACCTGCATTAGTGACCTAAAAGCACATATATAGGTGGCACATAAAAGAATAGATGCTGTCACACATGATAAGATGAACACAAAACATTTTGGAGGTGAGGAACAGATGAAATGCACGTTTGATGGATAACGCAGACTTCATGACAGTTGCAGAGACGGATGGCGGGTGTTCTGGTGTGTGTGTGTGTGTTGAGGAGCACCGAGTGCAGGAGATGAAGGTGTCATGTCAGAAATCTGCTGAAGGGAGAGGCAGCCAGGTCCACACATTATAGCCTCTAATCTGCACGGATGTGATGATCCTGTCCGAAACGCAGCTGCTATGGCTAATCTGTCTCAATCCATCTGCCAAAAATGCCAAATTACCCAAATCACCACCTACAAAGAAGACCAACTCTAAAAACTCATACAGCAACTGACTCTGAGAGTAAATCTCATGAAACCTGTCATATTTCACCTCTAATCCGATAGAAATAAGTGAAAAACAAAATTCTTCTTAAAGACAATGAAGTCTATTTTTTGGCTCTATGACACAATTTTTATAGTTAATATTTCAAGTTATTTCTACCCAATTCTTAGTAAAATAATGCCAAAAAGTGGCATTCTCATTACAATCATGTGATGAAAAAACTGACGAGTTCTAAATCACAGTTGTATCTGAATAAAAAAAGATATAAATTAATGACAATTGATACACTGGAAAAGAAATTGGCTTTGAATCAAATTTTACGCAAAAACAGTTTTGAAACAGAAACAAGAAACAGCGCTAAATTAAATGTAAACTTTTGAAATAGAAAGACAATACAGTAAAATACACGCCAATAATCATTTTGTTTACAACTTCGAAAAAAATGTTTTTGTTTGTTTGTTTGTGTGTGCAGTCATGAGAATTTGGGGGTTTTTTATTGTCATGAAAATATTAACACAATGTAAAAACTTCTTATTGGTCATAAAGTAGGCTCCATTTACTTTAAGCAAAATATATATATTTTGATTTTGAGGTGAAATGTAACCTAGAAAACTAGAAATTTTAAAATGAGAGGGAGAAAAACTGGAAACAGACACATTAAACATGATAATTACAGAAATAGCACCACATTTTGTACTTAAAATACGCAGAAAATCAGAGTTAACTGAGGATTAAACTATCTTGGGGGAAAGAAATTCTGGGTGCGGGAAGGAAATCAGGCGTTATGTACGTACAAGCTGTGTTCATGATGTCAATTCAATAAAGTTTTACATGAATCTATAGCCAAATCATAGTGTGGGGGCCTAATCCATGCATGAACACATAATTTTACATAATCAAACACTTACTGTCATAGTTTCGAAGTTTATCTTGCAGACTTTGGTGCATCTTTGTATATATATGGAGGCAGTATGTAAATCATACATGTACACATAATTGCAAGTGTTTGTGCGGTGTGTGTGTGTGTGTGTGTGTGTGTGTGTATGAGCGAGAGAGAAAGAAAGAGAGCGGATATTGCTGTGAGGGAAGGTGGCTCAGAGCCAGGGTTCAGTAATCACATCATCTTCTTTTATTAAATCTCACTGCACTGCTTCTGCGTTATTAAAATCTCCCAGCATTCCCCACAACCCACTCCCGCCACCCTCCCTCCCTCCCCGACACACCAATATTCACAATGATGAAATATGAGAAAACCAACAGGTAGCTGATAAAAATATACACATCAGACCACTCGTACACAAAAGAGAAAGCACAGGTGAGCAGCTAAACCGTTCAGTACTGACACATATTATTCTGCCCCAATCATGTCACAGATGCACACTTACAGTACGTACTTGCTAAAAAAATCTGCCTTTTTGAACTTAGCATGCAAACACTGCTATGCACAAAAAATAACAATCGACTAGTGGCATGCAGATTTTAATTGTCTAATTATGTTTTGATTGCACTGAGACACATTATAACTTTTGGGTTTATGCTAATAAAACAACAGTTAGTGTCATTGTACACTCTAAAACACTCTTAGCTGAATTCATATGCATTATGGCTTATTAGTCATTTGAAGAACACTTCAACAGGCTTATTAGAAAGTGTACTGCCTATCAAGGTGGCAATAAAGTTAAAATGACATTTCTTACGATGCCTTAGTGTATTAATGAGACTCAATATTTGTAGATGGTCATGTAAAAATCATAGGTGAAAAATACCAGTAACGATTTACAATAAGGTTCGATTTGTTAATCTTAGTTAATTTGAACTAACAATGAATACTAATTCTTTATTAGTAATTTCATCATGTATCTGTTAATATTATTTAATCGACCTGAGCTATGAACTAACAAAGAGTATTTTTATTAACTAACATAACCAAAGATTTATAAATACTGTAACAAATATATTGCTCATTATTAATGTTAGTAAATGCATTAACTAGTCTTAACTGATGGGACCTTATTGTGAAGAGTTACCGACATACCTTTCATAATGAAAATGATTTACTTATCACTAAAATTCCTCATATGCTTACTAACTGTTTTCTGTTCTGGATTTGCACTGATAGAACAGAGAAATGTTCATGCTGTTTTTGAGTCTGTAATGGACGAGACCAACTTTTTGTCTCGGTATGTTTTCTTGGATGACTCTGCTTTGCAATGCCCTGCCAACGCTGTAAAAATGCTGGTCAGGTCACCAAAACGTACTTCAAATCATCTGAATGATTCAAATTATATACAAAAAAATACATAAAAAAATATTTAAAATCGTTGAATCAACCAGATAACATTTAGTTACACTAGCAAAAGACATTTTAAAGGATTCTATCAGGTAGAAATAGATTCTTAAAGGAACAGTCTACCCAAAAATGAATGTATTCTCATTATTTACTCTCACTTTCATGTCGTTCCAAACCTGTGCCACTTTTTTCCTTCTATGATATTTAGAAAAATGTTAAACTATTTTTGTCTCTACAATGAACGTTGGTAGGGTCCAAAACAATATTAGACCCCACTGACTTAAAAAACATTGAGACATTTTTCAAAATATATTTTTTGTTCCACAGAAGTCGTCGTACAGCTTTGGAACGACATCAAGGAAATTGTGACGATTTTTGGGAAACGATGCATTCGACACATTTCCACTGATGTCTCATTCTTCAAAATACTACAAAATCCTTGGTAATTCTTTGTAATTCACTAGCCACTTGTCAACAGAGCAACGGTTTGTAGGAAATACTGATTCTGACAGTGGATATGTTGTAGAATATGATGGGCGTCATCATAATATCCCATAAAGTAACGTCTTATATAGAGAATTTCACACTATCTTTGGTGACAAATATGCACTATTGGTGTGCTGACGTACTTATTGTGATACATTCCCTGACTGACAGCATAACCTGTCCATACGTTACAATCACACGTCAGTTTCCTGCATCCCTC